CAAAAACACAGCTTATACTCGCTATACCCGAGTCTGTGCTCACTTCTTGCAATATTTACATCTAGGGATGCACAATATATCGGTATCATACCAGTTATCTGGCTTTCAGCTATATTTTATATTTATATTACCTTCATCTTTTTTACTGTACATTATAATGTCGTAATGCCAAAATTCATTTTCAGCATCTCGCAACTTTTAGTATCGACTAAACATGAAAACAATTATCAGCATACTTTTACGGTATTTTATAAAAAATAAAAATAAAAAGTCAAATGTAAAAAAAAAAAAGCAGTTAGTTATATGTCTGTGAATTAGGGCTGTGCGATATTGAAGAAAAATGCGATATGCGATATGATAATGCTTAAAGTGCCACATGCTCAGATGAAACAGTTTTACTCAGCTGTTGCTGAGTCAGTTCTGTGAACTTCTATAACTATCTTGTGTCATATATATATGGTTATTTGTATGTATGTATGTACCAATATTTCCTGTAAAACCACAACAAATTTCTTGTGTTTGCGCACACTTAAGTGGTGAATAAAGCTCATTCTGATTCTAATAAGAAAGCACCCCTACAACAACTTCTGAAAGTAAACAGTAGTGTTTTACTCAAGCATTACATAAAAATGTCATTTTAACATTAGTGTAATCATTTTAACGAGTTTAGGAACTGAATAATAAAAAGGAAAAATAAAACACTGCTTAGTATTTACTCTTTGAATTCAATATGCACTGATTCTTATTTAAACTACAAAAGTTATTTAGGTAAGAGCAGTGAGTGATTTTCTCTTTGTCTTTTGTTCATGGCCCCAAATATTGCAAGCTGTAGCAATATGCATATTGCGATATGTACATTTGCGATATTTCGACAATTTCGATATATTGCACAGCCCTACTGTGAATGAATGATATATCGGTAACATAGGCCTATTGGTTATCTAAAGATATTGGCTATTTAATTATACATACACATTTCAGCCCAATTAAAGTGAATCTTTTGCAAATCTCAAAGTTTATATCCATTTTTCTTGTTGTATATCATAATGTTGTCATGCCAAATTTCATTTAAAAAAGATTTTTATTATCAGCCAAAACCTGAAAATAATTATTGGTCAAAATGTTTATATCAGCTCATTCCTCTGCAAAAATAATAAGTAAATTAAGATTTAAAATGTAATACTTTCATTTTATTCAAAAAAAAAAAAAGTGTGCTACACTCGAATTGTCAAACTACTAAAAGTAACTCAATTGGTTATCATTAATGCTATACTATTAATACTAATTAGTTACTTATTAATACTACCAGTTTTCGGGAGATTGACGAAATATTTTTATGCTTTCCAAGTTTCGACAACTTTGAGGGAATATTTTATCAAAACAATAATCTAATGAAAGTAAAAATATGGCATTCTAGTAATGTAATCAGAAAAAAAGGTTCAAATAGCTGGAATACAGAAGATAAACACCTTCTAGAGTTTGAACAAACATCGAACCTCAAATAAATGTTGAGCATCACATGCAGCAAACCACTTCACATTACTTTGGAAGGAAGCTACATCATGTCAGGAAAGACAGTCACGCTAACAAGTTAATCAAATATTCAGAGCGAGGGCAAAGACATATCATCCTTATTTAACCACGCTTTAAGAATCCAGTTTAACCAGACATCCAAAACAATAGTTTTTCTTGGAATAACCTTGGGGGATGAAGGCAAAGTGTTTGAGAACTTCTGTAGAACACCACAAAGAAAAAAAAGGACATTATAAACCTCAAAAAGGACTGGAATTACAAGAATAAACACAGGGCTTTTGCAGGTTTTATGATGGCAAATTTAAGACTTTAAAACCTTTTGAAAACCAAATAAAGACTTAAGGAATAAACTGAAGGGAGCACAATACATCAATACATTGTTTAAAGGTAAATGTCTAGGGAGCAAACAAAGAGTTGTTTTAGAAACACTTCAAAGTTTGAAAGTGCAACTTCCAACCGATCTCCATTACTTTTTAATTCATTTTACCAAAAACAAAAAAAAAAGCTCCCAACCACTAGAATATAGAAATAACTTGCACCTTCTGATCACACAGCAAAAAAAGGGATATTCTTTAGTATTTTTGGCCTGCTTTCCAGTACAAATGTCAAAATATTAAATCAAGATAAAGTTACTTGAGAATCAAAATGAGTTAAGTTAGGTTTCTATGAAACTGATCAAACTGAGTTTATGACTGAAACAACAACAAATATCTTAATTCAAAGGTAAAACAAGTTTTCATACCTCAAAGACAGATATTTGTTATTTTAAGCATAAACTTACTTTATTTTGTTCAATTTCTCAGAAGTTCAGTTTGCATCTCAATAATCTTGATTTAAGGATGTTTCAAAAATTTGTATTGGAAAATGACAAAAATACTGAGGAAGATATTCATTTTTAGCAACACATGCAACATTTAATGCCGTGACTATGAATTTAAGACGTTCTGCTCTTATTTAAGATCTTTTTAAGGCCTTAAATTGTGGAAATGAAACTTACTGAAGATCTTTCTAAGACCCGCAGAAGCAAATTAAAGGGGTGGTTCATTGCGATTTCACTTTTTTAACGTTAGTTAGTGTCTAATGTTGCTGTTTGAGCATAAACAATATCTGCAAAGTTACGAAGCTGAAAGTTCAATGCAAACGGAGATATTGTCTTTTAAAATTCTGGCAGTTTAATGCCTACAAAAACGGCTGGTAGGGACTACAAGAAGTTACTTCTCGGGTTTGTGACATCAGAAACCCAGATAAACCCCGCCCTCTGGAAAAGGCAGCAAAGGGGGCGAGGCCATGCTGCGCTGCTTTAGAGAAGAGGAAGAGAAAACTCTCTTGGTGCACGTAAAAATCTATTCATATATGAATCACGATTCTGTCTTCTGAGGATTCTAATGGATTCAATGGAATCAATGTTCTAAAGCAGCAGTTCTTAATACTGTTCCTCGCGTCCTCCTGCTCTGCACACGCTCTGCATCTCTCTCTCTCTCTCTCGCTCTCATTCAGCTCACCTCCAACAATGAACTGTTACAATTATACATTTATTTTCACATAGCTATGAGAAGCGTTAAACATGGACGCACGTGCAGTTGCCGTACTGTATTAAAGCCAATCACACTGGGCTAGTTAACCAATCAGAGCCCATCGCCTATTTCTGAGGGAGGGGCTTCATAAAAGCAGGAAATGATCAGCGTGTTTCTCACAGAGAGGTGTGGAATAAAGGTAAATTATGTGAAAAATAATGCGTTTTTTAAAAAACGAAGCATTAACACATGTTAGACTGCACCCCATAAACACAGTCAAGCCTAGAAAAAACCCAGTGAACCACCCCTTTAACAAAATTCAAATCTGCTGCTCTTTGAGAAAGTGGCATCGCAAACCCTGAGCTGTGCAGCTTCCTCTCAGCTTCTAGACAGAGCGGTCAAGAGCTTACCGAGCTAGAAGCAGAAGGTTAACAGCGCTTGTTGGTCACGCAAGGCCCTCTTCCTCCACCGAGGCGTATCTTATTGCTGTCTTTCCTCTGTGAGTCTGGGCACAAAGGCTGGTTGTGTTGCATGAGCTTTCTAAGGATATGCGTTCTGTGAAACCCTTTTATGGGTCAGCCCACACTACACAACAAGGCCCCGTGACAGTGTCTGTTAATCTACGCAATTTGAGGATCCCTCTCTGACCACATCCACCGTTTTTTAACAGCAACTTGGTGCGTGGCAGCCAGAATTAAGGCAGTTTTTGCCATTTTTGGGAACAGGATTGGCTTGAAAAACCACAATCTGGACAGAACAGGTTTCATTCTCGACGTCGGCGCTTCATAGTCTCATTGTGCCTGCCAAGGAGCAGTAAAAGAGACACAACCAGAAAAGATCAAATCTGGACCTTCTTTGACTTCACCAGTCATAAACTGGGATGCAGAAATACTGTCCTAAATAGATTTTGCAACCCGAGTTTCAAATTAAGGCTCTGATTTAATTATTTTCATAGATACTGCATCTCTCCGATCTGAGAACAATGTAAGGACGTGTTATGAAACGCTCTACGCTACTGAAGTATTCAGATACAATCTCTTAGGCTTAAATTGCTGACAGTCTAACTTTGCTTACAGCCACAAATTAGCTAATGGCTCTGCCACCAAAACGAAAGCAAAGAGCTGCCTACTGGTCAGATCACGAGATGAATATAAACTGACACTAGTGCAACTCAAAGACACTTACTAATGTTCATTGCTAATAAATTAACATGGAGACTTTCAGTAACAGTTTAACAGGTTTTGTATAGTTTCATACCCTTGTAAAAAAAAAAAAAAAAAAAAAAATTATTGATCCTTATGCTTCCCATACCAATTTACCAATGAATTTCCATGACTTTTCCAGTCATTTGATTACAAGATATCACAGGTTTAAAACTTATACAGACTATGCTTATAAGTCGATAAATATGTTAAAACACTTAAAAAACACTTAAAAACAACATTCCCTGGTCTAATAATAATAATATATATTTTTTTTTTTTTTCAAATATTGTGTTCCTTTATAACCAAGCAAACACGGGAAAAAATATATTCATTATAGAATTTTTAAGTAGCCTATATTTTTACAATACTTAAAGAACAAGCTCATTCATTATGTAATATTCCATGAAACTCCTTTATATTTCCACGACCGTGGGAACGCAGGATCCCATTAGAACCGGGTCTACATTAAGATGACTAATCCATCACCATAGGATTTTTGACATGTGGACATGTTGTGCAATATCCAACAACCCGAAAAAAACAACGCAGATCAACACGTGCATGAATTACATAAACTGAAATCATACACACGAATGACAAGTTGTGAAAGCAACACTTCGATTTCGAATTAAGCAGCATGTCAGCATCGCTATGCATTAGATCCACAAAGCAATATGCATTCATGTCAAACCTCGTGCATCTCTCGGTCATAATTGACGGTCGCAGCAGCTGTCAGCGATGCACTTACCCAGTAAGAGGAGTTTGAGCTCTCGTCTCGCATCTCGTTTGTCTCTCCGGAGCTGCTTGTCGATCTCGGCGTTGATTCTTTTGGACTCCTTCGCCTCTTCAGTCATGCAACAGGCCATCATGGACTCCAGAGTCATCACCACAGCGTTTGGAGATCCCAACCCTGATCTGACACACTTCTACGACCCGCTTCCCTTTGCAACCGCGTCGAAAGAGGAACAGGATGGATTTGGGGGAATAGCACCGAGCCAATCGGAGGAGGCAGCGCTCGAAGGGGCGGGGCCTGGAACGAGGCAAGGTCGGTGGAGAAACGGCTGTGGAGCTCACGGGGCGTGTCTCGCCACAAACCCTGCTATTCGACTGAATGGACAACGCCCATTCCTAGTTAAACATATCTGGAGAAGCCCTATCCTCTCTATATATTTTAATAAAACACCTTTAATAGTTTCATAAAATATATAAAACATATATATTCATATACAAAGGGTTATTACTAAAACCATTCACAGACAAATGGCGCTTCTGTAAGCGAGAATTAACGTGCAGATTTGCAGGTGATTCCTATCTCTTTATCGACACTGTGTGGAAACTGCTTGGAAGAAAAGAGTCACAAAACTGGGTCCAGTATTTTACCTGGAGCTATTTAAAAGTTACTGATCCTGTAGTTGCTAGGTACTATTTCAGCACTTGACTATCGGTACTGTTGTTGGTAACATTCAGTTGTCTATTAAAAGATAACAGTTCACCGATTACAAAATGTTTGAACAGCAATAAACCATTGTTTTGGTCGACAGAAAACGTAATGAAATGAGACAACCAGTCCCAATATATATAAAACAACTTCCCTGTGTGACAACTAGACCCTTTCTCCCTAAAAAGTAATCTAGTAAATCAAAACAGATACTTAAAACTATGTAAACAGCTTCACTTAATTGTTGGGGGGAAAAGTGACAGCCATTCCTAGTTGTACCCCTCTGCAAAATGTGACATGCAGTGCATTAGTATTGAGATGTTCACAGGTATGGCAATGAGCAATCAAGATAGCAATGTAGGTTATGCTGTAATTTTAAGGAACAGTTCCCCCAAATACTGTCATGATTCTATCATGATTTACTCCAAACCAAAGAAAATACAGGTTGAGCCATTATGACATTATGAAATATGAAAGGAAGAAGGAAACATTTTAGGGACAAATCCAGGCCTGATGCGAATTCACTACAGCAGATCAAATAGAAAATTGGATGAGACAGAGAAGGAAGTGGATCTATTGCTTTGAGGATGTGACATCACTCACTAGGTTTTCTCAGCAAGAACGACCAAGTTCTGGAGGAGAACAACAAGGATGTAGGTTTCTGCCTTCCCAGACTTCTGACAAATCCTTTCAACAGACAACTCAACAGTTTGATTACCTCAGATGGAAGAAGGAACTGCAGACCCTAAATGTGCATTTTTAACCAACTTTTCCCACTTTAGATGTCATTTCTAGTGAGAACTTAGTATTGTAGTAATTACATGTATGCTTAGTTATCATCAAAGCTCTCCCAGATAGCACGCATCTGTTAAAAATCACTTCATCTGGAAAGCACCTTCATCTTAAGATGTCAGTTTTACATACATTCTATTAAATCATAAACATCTTAAAGACATTTTCTAAACGTCTATATTTGACATCTGATAGGAAACGTCCAATAGACATATTGCAGGTGAGCAAACACTCTAAAAAAATATGTCTTGCAGATATAAATGCAGATGTCAAATAGACGTCTCTGTGATATACGTGTGCTATCAGGGCTCTCTCTGTTTTGCTGTAGATCAGTTAGCTATTATGCTCCTGCAGAAGTCATCTGCCGAAGTTTTTGGACAAAGCCCTGAAGTTTTGAAGCTTCAGAAGGACTGCTCTAGGAAGGACTCAGCCTCACTAGGATGCAGCCTTCCATTTGAGAAGCACCTGCACGTGTCATCTCTTGTTTGTCATGCATAGCTGAGTTGCTTTTCCTCTCCTCAGTGGTTTGGCGCCACCTTCAGGCAAGCCTCGAGACGATAAAGATACCATGCTGTTCATCCAGGATTGCATGAAGAGAAAGTGGTTAGCACTGAAACAGAGAACTTTAAAAGCATTTACTCTCACTTCATCTGCGCCACAGACACCATAAACACCCAAACACTCTTCAGCATCATTCAAGACATTATCATTACCCAGTTCCTAAAATGTGCCGTTTAAACCTTTCTAATAAGCCCAAAACATACTTTTAGCATGCAATCCATCTGCATTCAATGACTCTATTTTATAAAGGAACTTTTGCATAATCAAAAGAATAAATGTAATTAAGGATTCATTTTCACTGCTTAAAATAACATGGTAAACTTGGATGATAAAAAAGAGAAAGGTGTACCTTTTGTGACAACATGCCCCAATAGCAGCGCTATAAGCAATAGCGGCAACTAATGGGAACCTGCTTATAATGGACTTTTCTGCTACATTTATAAAGTAAAACAAGCATACTAATCCATTAGCCACTGTCAAACATTGTTTTCGGTCAACAGAAAACGTTACTAATAAACTGACAAACAAATGCAATAATGTCATGGCAGATTCATTCCTCTGACTTTCCATTGGTTCTCTTCTGCTCTGCAACATACCCAGTATATTATACATTAAAGAGAGACTTTCAAGAAATGTAGGCCTAACTAGTTTGTCTGTAGAACAAACATGAAGAGAGGGGCACCATCGCCAAAAAGGAGCTCAACCTCATCCTTGCTGAACAGAAGAAAAGAAAACAGAGAGAAATAAAATTGCTTTTATTCGGTGAGATGATTCTGAGTTGTTTAATCAGAATTTTTATTAAAACTTATCCACTTGATCTCATTCGTTTTATAAGTCATCGTGTGTACTTTAGCACAAGATAGCGTCTTACGATTGAGGGAAGAAGGAAAAGGTTGTGAAGAATTAGACTTTGGTCTCTAAAAGAAGTTAAAGTAACTTAGGTAACATGGCATTAGATGTCGTGACACAAAGCAGGTAAATATCATTAGGGGTTTGTTACATGTACATTTAGACATTTACATTTAGTCATTTAGCAGACGCTTTTATCCAAAGCAGTAAAAATAAAAGCAGTCAAAACTAACAAAAAAGCAACAATATATAAGTGCAAATGACAAGTCTCGGTTAGCCTAACGCAGTACACGTAGCAAGGACAACACACACATACACACACACACACACACAAAGAAAAACAAGTAGATAGAATAGAAAAAAAATAGAAAGCTAGTGTTTTTTTTAAATAAAAAAAAGAAGATAAATATAGATAAAGTAGAATTAAAATAGAATAGAAAGTGCTAGAGTTAGAGGGTCAAATAAAGGTGGAACAGATGTGTTTTTAGTCGTTTCTTGAAGATGGTTAAGGACTCAGCTGCTCGGATTGATTTGGGCAGGTCATTCCACCAGGAGGGAACAGTTAATGAAAAAGGCCGTGAAAGTGATTTTGTGACTCTTTGAGGAAAAGAAAGTTTGAATCAGGTATGACAAAAAAGATCTACAAAATGAATAAGACTAAGGGGACTTTCCCGACATAATCTAAGAACTGATGAATAGACCTGGTGATTCTTAAAACTAACTTCACTATTCTTGTTCCAAAGTAATTTTAGTAGATGTATGAGTTCAGTTCCCTTTCACTCAGGTGTCCTGACTTTTAGAAATGGTGTATCACCTGTTCAAGTTATTCCACAAGTTTTTTTCTATTTACTCTAGGTCAGTTCTCAGACTGGGCCATTCGAAAATATGTCTTGCAGATGTAAATGCAGATGTCAAATAGACGTCTCTGTGATATACGTGTGCTATCAGGGCTCTCTCTGTTTTGCAGTTGTTTCTACCAGCACGGCAACAAAAATTTTCATCACTAATTCTTCTTCTTAAGCCATTCATTTGTTGACTTAGATTTGTGTTTGAGGTCATTATCATGCTGAAAGACGAAATTCCTTTTCATTTGCAGATTTGTAATAAATATTTATTTGTGTAGATCTTTTTTGTCATACCCGATTTGTCAAACCTGTGATTTGGCGCCACCTTCAGGCAATCATCAGAATGTACCAGATATCATGCAGTTCATTGCACAGTTATATGAACAGAAAGCTGTTAGCAAGGAGACGGAGAACAAAGTAATTTACTCTCACTTCATCTGCGCCACGGACACCATAGACACCTGTGCACTCCTCCACACTGTGAAACATGCTGCCATGTTACAGTTATCACAGAAATATGAAGTGTTATAATGAGCCCAAAACATACCTTCAGTGGCTCATAGACTGTATTGATCTCCATCTACATTCAAAGACACTGTTTTATAAAGTAACGCTTCCATGCTCAACAACAGCTGAATAAATGTTTTATTATTGATGACAGAGCATACTTGAAAGAAATGTAATTAAGGATTCATTTATATTTTGTTAAAAATATATATATTATAAATGCTCAAACATTTGGGGTCCATTTGCAGAAGCAGATCTGATGTAGGGCTGCACGATAAATCGAAATGGAATCGAGATAGCGATTCGACAGAAGCTGCGATTGTCATGCGTATCTTTCAGTGAAGCATGGTTCTGTGATCAGCAGTAAATCTCCATGCTGATTTTTTTGCATAACTTGTCAGTGAACTACGGCTATGTGTAGTAAATTCTGCTCCATCTGAAAGCACGTGATGATGATTTCCTGATGATTACAGAACCGGCTTTACTAACAAAATGCGCATGACAATCGCATTCGATTAATCGTGCAGCCCTGATGTTTATCTACACTGCAATATATGAAGTCATTCTTATTCAGGTGTAATGTACAAACTCAGCATACTGTGAAATAATACAGTGACACTGCAATTCTGAATCTCACTAACATCAGTAGGGAAGGTAGGCATCATCAGTCGGGGCCACCAAAAGTGACCGGTCCTGGCTCTCTTAGAAATAAAGATTTTTTAAATGTTACTTTCAAGAATGTAGGTATAGCCTACTACAAAAAAAAACGCATGACTGGCAGGGTGGGGACCCAATCAGAGGAGTTAAAGGTAGACTTTCAAGAAATGCAAGTTTGTTTGTAGTGAACGTACTGTACGTGGCCCTATTGACAAAAGCTTTGTTTGGGAAAACTGCCTAAAGGAAGATTGATATCGTTTCCCATTTGACGTCACAAGGTTTAAGAATGAAGGTGAGTGATTCTCTTTGTCGCCTCAGCTTACTTAGATTG